CCAGGAAGTAACTGAAGAATTGTAAAACAAAAAGGTTTAAGACCAGTAAATGATATATATTTACTAATGCCAATGGCATAAGGATTAAAAATAGTCTGTTGATTTTAGAGTGACGTTCCGCTTCAAGGAATCCCTCCCCCCCGGTGATCTGACCAGTTTAGGGGGTGTCTCCTTTGCGCCTTCATCCAGATTGAACAGAAACATTGCCATTCTGGGAGAAGTAGTGTTGGATACACTTGCATGTTTGATGGACTTGAAAACCCAGATAAGAAAACTTTATAAGCAGTTGCAGCAAGTGTGTATGTGTGGTTTGTTGTGGGTTTTTCTTTTGGGATAAAGGTTTTTCTGTAAATACAAACTGACCATTGTAAGCATCCCCGTCAGTATTAAATGGTTTGTCACAAACGTCGGTCTCCTGCTTGGTCTGTGATAGGAAGCTGAAAAACAGACTTGCGTGCAGAATCGCCAGGTTAAGTCTTTTAAACAATTACGAATTTGAACACCACATTTTAAAAGAGAACCCCACTTTCTTTGGGGACAAATTGGTGGAGAAAGCATATACAGTTGCTACGCAAGCTAAACTGTAATTTTCTTAACTGACTCACTGTTTTTCTCAAAAGCCTGCACTTATTGTGAGCACAACAAAAAAAATGTAATTTTTGGTGAGATACTCGCAAAGGGAAATGTGTAAAGGGATGCAGACCCTGCCACTTTCTCATTAGCCAGCGGATGCACCTGCAAGGCTCTAATGAAATAGTCACTCCCATTCACGCTCACTTTGCACAGGGACACAACTGGCTATTTCTTCAGAATACCAAAAGGTAGGAATCTGCAAGGGACATGGATCACACACAGGTCGTGTGGGTTTTTTTTTTTTTCCTTAAGTTCCCTCCCACTAGTTATGGCGACTTTTTTTTTTTCAGTAGTCCTGTCCAGAGTAGGGCAAGTGATGGTTGTCATCCTAGGACAGGAAGTATGTTATTGGGTGGGAAAAGGCTATTGCAGCCAGCACATCTAAGGTGTCTTCAGCTGTAATATATTTGTTCTGGGAAGAAGGGAGTTGGACTTCTTTAAATGATACAGTTAAAACGCACTGACACATGAAATAGTGAACAAACCTACAAATCCATTTTAAAGCATACAAGTATGATCAAAGCTGGACCAATGGAACCATATAAAAAGAAACCAAAGTATATGCCATACCTTGCTGATGCCCCTGGAAGCCACCCCTACTCCAATGATGTCCACTTGCTTCCAGGTTCTGTTCGGAGCAGCTGGTCTGATGCTTACAAGAGGTTGGCTGCTTAGTACAGGTGCCAGGTAGAGAATGCTGTGCATTTTTTAAATGAATGCAAAGCGTTGTCTGATTTGGATGAGGTGGAGTGAGATGTCAATTCCCTGCCTCTCAAACTCATATAATCAGACTGGTTTTGCGTTCTCTGAATGGTGCCTGTGCCAAGTGACTGTCCTCCTGTGTTCACAATGAATTAGGCTGGCTGTTCTGCATGGGAATGGAAGCAAGTAGAGATCCCTCGAGTAGTAGCTTCCAGGGGTATCTGCCAGGTATGGTATTTCTTGGGCCAATGTAACCATGTGTAAAATATCCATACCTTAGATTGTACGCCCCTTGAGGGTTAGGGACTGATGTGATAGATATATTAGCTCTGCATAAATTGGTGGTGCTATACAAGTACCTGTAATAAATAAATACCTGGAATTCTTAATTTTGTTTGAGAAGATAAATTATAGGATAAGCTGCTTATATCTTCAATGGTTTTTAGCCAGTCTGGGCAGGATGATGGACTTGCCTAATATTGGTATGCTTAAAGTTGCAAAGCTGAGTGAAAATTTTCTGAGGCATGGATGCCCGATTACCTGGCAGCACTGAGTGCCCTGTCACTAATTGATCGGGAGCAGGGACATGCCCTGGATATAAATACCGACTTTTGTCATCTATAGATACGCTGCCATACACATCATGGATTTAAAACATTTATACACTGGTAATAAACTGATCATTTATGCCTTTCTCATAAATATTTTAACAAGTTGTAGCTTGCTTCTAAAACCATCAATGTTTCCTTAATGGAAACCAACCTTGGACACTACATTAAAAACAAATTGCTCACATTAGAACTCCTTATCGAACTTCTGGGAATGTATACATTTTCCATTGAAGCTGTCGTGTTTTTGTTTTTTTTGTTTTTTTTTTTTTTGTTTTTGGCCAAGCAAATTAGTTGAGCTGCAGTGTCTGTAAAATACTCTATTCTCCCATCCAAAGTGATGATGCACAGATCTGGTTCACACTAGAGAAGGAAAACTGATAGAGTAATGAAGCTGTACAAAATGTGCTAATACCCCCTTTCCAATGAACTGTATCACCCAATTGATGCAAATGAATCACATAAAAGATTATAAAAATGGGTATCTGGCACATTTTGTGCAGCACTCTGTGAGGGATTTGCATTTATACTTTGGCACCTTTTTTAAATTTGGCACATTTGGTCGATTTTATATACATAGCTGCCCACAATGTTTTCATTCACTTAGAAGGATGAAGCATACCACATAATGTGTCTGTAAGCTGGGTTGTGTGTGTTCTCTTGGTAGAAATTGCCTTTGTAAGGCCTAGTGCACACCGCTCCTCCTAAATAAATGCGATACCTCAATAGAAGCTGTGCACACTTTTTTAGATGAGTTTAGAAGGAGCATTGACTGCGTCTAAACACTGCTGCTTCTAAACACAGAAGAATCCCATTCAGTAGAGGAGTTTTTGGGTATAAAAAAAAAGCCAAACATGCCTCAGTGCTGATCATGTTTAGCACTTGAGTGTTTATGAATTTTAATGAGCCAGAATAAAAATTCTGGCCATTGAAATAAACACCAAGTAGAGTAGAAGTTTCATTTTTAAAAGCCATGTAGTGCTCTGCAGGCCTTGGTCAGTTGGTCTTTCCTAGTTTTGAAAGCTCTAGTGTGCAAGGCAAAACTGTACGGAGTCTAAATGCTTGCTTGTTCGTTTACTCAGTGTGTTTTTGTTTTTCAGAATGATGTCAAACCTACTCCTCCTGAAGACCTTGATGGCTCTGGAGATGATGAGGATTTTTCGGGCTCAGGAATGGAGAGTAAGTTCAGTTATTACAAAAGCTATCCTCTGAATAAACATGTTCGCTTCTGTTCTTTTCACGGAATTGCAGGAGAATTTAAAGTGCAAACCCACCTTGTTGAAACTGTAAAGCTGGACAGTGAAAACCACTTTTTAATCTATATTTGAGTTTATCAAAGAAGAGATGTGAAGCATGTTCAATTAATACATTCTAAATCCATACAGAAAAGGAGTCCAAAGAAAAAATGACATGCAGATTAGGATACGATAACCGAAATTAGTCAAATCTTTTTGTGCATTTATGTAATAACAAAGACCTATAGATTGTATGACCAGCTTGATCATGCAATAGCTACAATAAAACTTGTTTGTTCTAAACTTTTATTCAAGTTTTTATTCCAATATTTACTGAAAACTTCTAAATTCACTGCACTACGTAGTTGCAATGTATAAAGGACCAGCTTAATAAAGAAGGTTCTTAAATGGAGCCCATGACATTGCCAAAAGTTGCTCATTATGTTCAGTACAATAATGCTACAGACTCCTATTTTAAACTGTGGGGCCCTAGCAGGGCTTGCTGGAGATCAATAACATTGTAGCCCCTTAAATTGTTGTCACCCTATATTATGTAGCTTACCACAACATCAGGGACACATAATAGGAACAGAAAAAGTAAAAAATGTCAATGAAATAGACATGCTAATTTAACAGAGCCAAATGTTTTGAATGGTGGTTTTTCCTTCACAGGCCTGAGCTCTGTTTTTGGCAGTACAGATACTATGGTAGAATGAAACGTTTTGCCAGTGCAGACTCTGTGGTAGAGCAATACCTTCAATAGAACAAGATGCTGATTTTTCATAGCAGTTATTGGGTCAAAACCATTTTAATACATCGGTTTTCTTATTTCCATATTTCTTGTAGATGAGGATGTCTCTACAACACAAGTCTCTCTTCTCGCCCCTACGGTTACACAGATATCCACAGCCCAGAAGCCTTATTTTGCTATTCAAGAGGAAACTGATGTAGAAAATATTACTCACGCACAAACTACTAAACCACATGATCTTGATATTTTTGCCTTTCACCCTGTTGGAAAAGAACCATTTGTTGAAGGTACAACTCTTGAACCTACAACCCACCAGACATCTACTGTAGCATCTGTTGATGATGTAAAGAAACACCACCACCACCATCACCACCATCATACAACCACACCAGGTACATCCCTTCCTGCTAAGTTTGATGTAGTTGACACTACTATTGGTCCTGCTGAAGTAGAAAAGCCTTTTGTTGCCCCCGAGGAAACTACCACAAGTACACCAGATGAGGGTGACATGGATGATTTGGTCCAAAAAGTGACACCAACAGCTGAAGATTCAGTCCAATATGTTGACCATCCAGAAACCACCTCAGGCTTAACTAGTACTACATATGAAGAGACCAGTGCAATTCCGGCAGATATTGATGTAATGCCTGGCTTTGTGGACTCTGCAGAAAAGAATACTGTGACAGATGAAGCTCTTACTCGTAAACATCACAATCACACACCACCGCTACCACCACTACCGCAATTCTGTTGGATGAGTTTATTCATATTGATAGGACAACAGAAAAATCTGATTATCTTGAGCCTGAAAAAGATCAAGACTGGCAAGGAGAAACCACCACAATTCCAGCTAGTGAAGATAAACACCATGGCCATGGACACCACCATCATCACAAACACCATCCCCACCATACAACTGTACCAGGGGCCACCCAGTCTACTGCTTCTGAGCAGTATATAGTGCACACCCAGGAACCAAAGGGCAGGAGGGTCAACATTCCACCTGAAGAAATGACAACTGCAGTTCCAGTACTATCTGAAGATGAGGAACCTGTTGGCTCCACTGCCCAGTATAACCACACTGTTGTTCCAATACAAGATGAAGAAACCTCGGATTCCACAGAGGAGGAATCGGGAGATGGACCAGTGGAAGCAGTAGATGTGAGTTTAGGTTTCTGTTTAAAAGATTCTGATTCTTTTAATTTTATATCTGATGCTGTTCATATTAGAAAAGTGGTATCGAAATTTTTTTTCTGTAGAATCATTTTTTCCCAAAATAAAGTACATCTAAACCCAGTTTTCCCCCCCCCCCCTTATGGTTAGAGTAATTAAGTTCTTCATCACTGGTTTTTTTTTTTTTTTTTTTTTTTTTCCCTTCCTTTTTAGGAATTGCAACCCAATAGAAGGTGTCGGTCTTGCCAGATCTGAATTGTAGATTTCAAATAGCATAAATGTGTTCAATTCATTGTAAACATCATGCATATTTTTATTTCCTAAAGTAGTAAAAAATATTAAGTTGAAGATGAATTATCCTTTTCTATGAAGCCTTGTTAAGGGGCATTTTTATTTAATTTTTTTTTATTTCTCCAGGACTTGTTTTTTGAAGTCACGGCTTCAGTTGATAAAAGTGACAGGCTCGCTCCGGTCCCTGGTGATGGCAGTGCAGGTGCCTCACATGGAATAATGGAAAGGAAGGAGCTTCTTGCAGGTAAGCGGAGAATGTTTTGTTTCTGCAGAGCCATGTTTGCACTTGATACTGCTGTAATGCACCATTCACTTTTGTTTACTGAGAAAAAGTGTGTTTCTTTAACAACCAATGAAAATGGAGATGCAAAAATGCACATTCATTTACATCCATTTGCCTCCATTCAGGTACATTCCATTTAAACAGAACAGATTTTATCTCTCTCTATCTGAACGGATGTGGATATAAACCGATGATTGACAGTTTGCCCATAGAAATTGTGCTTTTTTTTTTTTTTTTTTTTTTTTTTCTTTCCTCCCCCCCCATTTATCTGTTCACAGATTGAAAAACAGATGGAATGCCTGTGTAACAGGGGCCTAACTCCTAATATCTAAACCTAATGCGCATTACTTTTCATTCCAGGTATCATTGCTGGCGGTTTAGCAGGATTGGTGTTTGCTGCATCCTTGGTGGCATTTGTGTTCTACCGGATGAAGAAGAAAGATGAAGGAAGCTATTCCTTAGAGGAGCCAAAGCAGTCAAACGGGGGATACCAGAAACCACGGGAGCAGAGGGAGTTCTACGCCTAGACATCCATTGCTAAAACGTTTTCAGTTGCCCTAACGGCCTGTCTACTTGTTTGACCTACGTCCACAGCTTTTTCCTTTTTGTGGCCTTTGTTCGGTACAGACTCCAATAAACATTCTTTAAAAAAATAAAAATTAAAAAAAAAAAGCTCAAACAGTAGTAGCTCTACTAAAAGATTAAGGCCGTTTTTTTTTTTTTTTTTTTTTTTTTTTTCTGATCTCTCCTGCAGTCAAAGACTAAATTGAACTAAAGTGAAAGCTTGTAGCTTTGGGATGTGTTGGAAGAAAGTACAAATGTGCTCAACATTCTCTCTACAAAAACTTTGCATTGATGCTTGATCGTTCTGCCATCCACAACCAACTATTTAGACAGATTCCCCTGCCTTTTTTTTTTTTTTTTTTTTTTTTTTTTTTTTTTCCGTTTCTAAGAAATGGTTTCAGTCCAGCACTTAATTGCAAGCTTTTTGTATGGTACACTGTGGCGACGTTATTAAAAGTTGTCTGTAGCAGCCAGATTGCAGCAGCAGTTTTGTAACTTGCACTGTGTGGGCAACTGTTGGAATCTAATCTGCTATAAGAGCACAAATTTCTCCCCTCCCACCAGTTAGCAGTCTACCAAGTTAAACAAAGGTGTATGTTTCCAATAACCTACCTTGAGTAATATAAAACTGTAATAAGTGTCCATTCAGTGCACCTATATCCAATCTTCAGGCTGTGCCAAGGGGTATTTAAAAAAAAAAAAAAAATACTTAAGCTTTAACTGCCACACATTTAGTCATAGCTTTAAACAGGCTTGTGCACACACAGTTGACTATTCTAGCAATAACTGCATTCCAATGTGCACCTTTTTTTTTTTTTTTTTGTTTTTTTTACTTTTAAATCTATTGCACTACCCTGTCAACAGGTCCAAGTTCTTTGTGTGTGTTACGGTTTTTTTTTTTTTTATCTTATTTTGCTTTTTAATAGATATTGCTTGCTATAAAAACACTGTGCAGGATTATGATTCTTGGGTAGACACTACCAAGCCAAAATGTCACTTTCTTTTGTTTTTGTTCCATTTCCCCCCCCCGCTTCATGTGATTGCTGTATGAATGAGTGCAGTGCCAACCTTTTTTAATGTATAGTTTTTTTTGTGTTTTTTTTTTTAAATGCGAGTGAGTGTATATTTCAAATGTAAAGTTGGTACTCATTAAGGGAAAGTGTAAAATTGTGGGTTAAAGAGGGTTTTTTTGTGTTTAACCAGTATGTCCTGTCCTGCTATCCTTCCAGGAATGGTTTCTTTTTTGAGCATGGGGTATGCATGGAAAGAGGTTTGAATCTGCAAAATAAGTTTTTAAACTTGGAATTCGTATGAAGAGTTATAGGCAGTCTGTCATCTTGAACAAACCCGCTGGCTTCTTTCATGTCCAGGAGATTCCAGCACAAATATCCCCTTGCCTGACTTGCTAGCTTGTAATCCTAATAGAAAGTTTAATGGTTATTTCATTATTTCAATCGGTCATAAAAAAAAATCAGCAGAGGCTTTCTTTTGTAGTACTAATATCACATGGGCAATATGCCAATAAAATCGCTATTGATTGCCAAAGAGATTCATCGCTACACATTTGAAGCAAGTGGCTACCTATGGTGTGTGTTATAGAAACAATATAGGGATTATTGGCACATATCTGAACCATTGTCATCCTTATCGATAAATTACTACAACAGGCAATTTTTTTTTTTTTTTTTTGTTTAGCATAGTGATTCTTCTACCAAAGATCACTCATTCTCTTCTAGCCTAAATGAAAGGCTTTCCTCAGGCCATTGTACTCTGGGACGACCCTTTTTGACTGTCACATGTTCTAATTATCTTGTAAGGCAGCTTGTGGTTTTTTGGGGTTGTATTTTTTTTTTTTTTTTTTTTTTTTTCAAGGTCTTATTTTGTTTCCTTTACTGTTAAGAGCATGATCAGCCATGTAGACTGCATAGTGCTTTGAAGGAGCAGTGTAAATAAAGGTTGTTCAGGAGATTAGAGTGTTTACAGCAGGACCCATGGTGTGTGGGCTTCACTGGCTGATGCGTGTGTTTTTTTACAATTATGGGTTCCTACATCTGCTTGACACTGAGTTCATCATATTTTTGGATCCACAATGATGTGTTTGTACAAACCATCTCATTCAAGATGGGCTAAGGCTGTGGGGAGATACTACACTCCAATGGTAATCATGAACAGCACCTGATGTTCCAATTGGATATCCAGACCGAGACCTAAAGTTATCCAAATCAGTAAAGGTTTGCCTAGTGTTGCACTCTAAAGAATACCAAGGCAGATAGAAACATGGAAGTTATTTACCTGGCTGTCATGCTCATTATCTATCTTTAATGCTTGCTGAATTACTGGACAGAATTTATGTATTTGAAAAAATGTACAATGCACACAAACATCACATGGATGAGAACTAATGCAATTTAAAACCATATCTAACCTGCACCATGTGTTGGTGTGTTACAAGTCATAGGTGTGAATGGACCCGTAAGGAAAGCCATTTCTGGTACAGTTGGCCATTTTTAGTAAGTTGTGTGTAGTTTTGTTTTTTTTTTTCTCTCTCCCCTCCACAAGTTGACTTTAACAAGAGCGTTAATCCAGAGCCCCTGCTTTTCTAACCTGCCAGCAGTGCCGTTGTCCCTACTATTAAGTAGGGACAGTGCTGCATTAGTTGGTGACCTTCATAAGAAGGCCTTGAAATCCATATCTTTTGAAGGGAACCAATTAACGGGTCTGGGGGTACTCTGGATTGACTTGAATAAGTAAACGATAACGCCCTATTTGTTATAAATATAATGCTATATAGCAGACTGCCTTTACACTGCTGGATGTTTATATCTGTAAATAGGTTTTAAAAATGTTTCAACACAGATTGTTTTAATTCTCGCCTTACCCCTGATAGGACTCCTTGTATGCAGTAGGTGTCTCCCCATAACGAGGGCTGTGTTTAGATTCCTCTGAATACAAGGAGCAGTTTAATTAAAAAGGGCTTTTGACTCAGGGACTGAAGGTGAGAAACCAGCAATAAACAGTTATTCTGTAAACTGTGTAAATTGTATTTTTCGGTAAAAAAAAAGTTTTTCAATCTTTGTGCCTTTACAACTTTGCTATGACTTTATGCAGCACAGTTTTCAATGTTTGGTTTTTTTTTTTCTCTACAAATGTAGCAATCTACGCCGTGTACAAAATGTTATTCATCCAATCCACTTCAAGCAATGTGTTGTAAGGGTTTAATGTAATAAAATTTTACTTTGGTAAATCCAATCCGTAATTGTTTGAAATCTAATGCTGAACTCCAGGCAAAAACTAAAAAAAAAATAAATAAATGCATGAGTGGGTTTTTCGTCTATGCAGTCCTGAGATTTAAACATCACAGCCCTCTCTGGTAGGGCAAGAGACCTGATCTTTCTCTGCTGCAGTCTTTTATTTACAGGTCTCCTCCCTAGCCCATGACTGTAAATGTAGTGGTGTGGTTTTTTTTTTTTTTTCTTATCCCCCTCTTCCTGGGGCTGTTCTTGCCCATCCAAAACACCCCAATGCTTGCTTAACTAGGCTAACAAAGTATGCAAGTTGGGACTTCGACAGAATATTATTAAAAAAGAGCAAGAGCCCTGGAACTTTTCGTCTTTAAAAACAAATCCGCGCTTGTGCTAAATGAACATTTCCTTGAAGTGCACCCTTCCGCAGCAATTATTTGGCTCTACCTCTGCAATTCTGTAAGAGAAGGCTCGTACTGCTGAGGACCAGTGTATTTGGAGTCCAGACTTCATAGTCAGTCAAGTGCAAAAAAGTGGCTTACATTTATGATCAGTTTGACGTCTGTAATAATGAACAAAGAAAATCTATTGATGGACAGTTGTGATTTGTACAGGTGTCCCCACTGCATACACTTTTCAATATGGAAGTGTGTAGGTTTTTTTTTTCGCCTTTTCTAGTAATATAATATGTATTTACTACTTTCCCCTTTTTTGTTATGCTGTGGCTTTCTATCTCCCAACCATCTTCACTTCAAAAGCAGGCTATACACCAAGGGTGCTGATTTATGGCCAAAGGTGCTGAAACATCCCATGTATAATAGCCCCCCGTGCACAATGCCAGCCAGCACCATTTTAATATAGTTTGGCATGAAGTACCTTGGGTGTCCTACATCGAGCCTTGATCTCAACCCTACTGAACATCTTGCGGGGGGTGATTATAGAATGCCAATTGAGTTAGGTCTTTCTCATGCAAAATTGAGTACCGGACCTCACAAACCTCCTTTTGGTGGAAGGGGCACATGTTCCAACGCACTCCCAAGTCTTGTGGAAAGACTTGAAGAGTGGAGGCTTTGTATAGCCACAGAGTGGAAGGTGTGTGTGTTCGTTCCAAATTAATGGCCATGACTGTCCAATAAGCACATATGGACAGGTGTCTACAAACTATTTGCTTGGCTACAGTTAAAGTACACTCCATTTACATTGTTGGCCCTTTTCAACAAATTCGAACAGATATACATTGGATCTTCATTAGCCTCCAAATACAATTTAATAAAAGCAATCCTAAAAAGATCAGTTGGATCCAAAGAGTTTTTGACAAGGCCAGTCCATAACCCCTCCATTTCATTTTTTTGAGAAAGTCCTTTGTGGATTTTCTAGTGTTCTTAAGATCATAGTGTTAGGATTAATCTCTGGCTTTATTCTAAAGATCATGTTTTCATTCCCCACTTGCCCTCCAGAAGATTTAACAACCCCCCTTCCTGACCAGGCCATTTTTTTTTTTTTTTTTGGTATATAGATTATAAAATTTGTCTTTTCCCCCACAAATAGAGCTTTTTTTGGTGGTATTTGATCACTTGTGGGTTTATTTTTTTTTTTTTTTTTTTTTTGCACTATAAACAAAGACAGACAACTTTGATAAGCAATATTTTTGACTTTTTGCTATAAAACATGTCCAATAAAAAATAAAATTTCTTCATAAAATTAGGCCAAATGTATTTGCT